AATATCATCAATTGGTTAAAAGAGCAAGTATTCTAATTGTGCATTTTTTGTTCACAATTTGTACTTGTCAAATCTAAACACAACCCAATTAACAAATTCATCAGATTAATGTCAAAATATCAAACATGATCATAAAATAAATCGAGTTAAAGTTAAATAATACTGGCCAAAACCCCAAAATTCAGGCTCAACACGACTTGATTTCCCCGCCAAATCAAACCCCTGATCAGTTCCTTTTAATCCGAGATATATACATAATATCACCAAGTCTAAATCCTTCACCAGAACTTGCCTTGCCAGGCCCAGCTTTGTCAGCAATACTAAACATATTCAATAGATCTGAATCATCTCTCATGAATGTATCCAGTCCATAAATAGATGAAGCCATGGCCAGCCAAATAAACACTAAACTCAATGACGAAAATGGACATCGACATTGCTAAATTCAAGGTTGTATGGTGATGAGTCCTACTTTATTTGACTTCTGAAACATCACGGTTTTTTAACAGCCTTCTTGCACTTGTATGACAAACTGAAAAATATGCTAAACTGATTCCACATTAGAACCAGTCACACTCGGTTAACCAAATACTATGAATTTCTTAACCAAATACTATGAATTTCAGCGTATATACGCCAATTCCAAAAAATTTCCGCTGATCTCAAAACAATTTTAAGAGCGAGTTGTGCCTTCAGAAAATACCCATAACATCCTTAAACTTACAAGAATTAACAATTACTATCAAACCATAAGCAAACCTGCGTCATTACAAGAGGTTTTTTTTTTTTTTTTTTTTTTTTTGGGGGGGGGGGGGGGGGATTTGCAGTGGTGGAGAACTTCGAGGTGGGTGTGTGAAAACAAAGGGGGAGTGGAACTCTTCACCCATTGACTACCACTCAAAACTGTTTCCTTGGCAATTCTGTGTAACTCAACCTAGTTGAGAACAAAGCACAAAAATGGTTTAAAAAGTTGATCTCACAATTTTGTATAATCATGTTATGCAGGTTTAAGATGGCTCGAACATTTCTACATAACATTTTTTCAATTAATAAATGAGATTCGTAAACAAATGACACAATCTAACTAAAATACAAACAAATCAACTTGTAAGCAAAGCATACACTGACCTTTTTCTTTCTTAGAGGGGCTGCAATTAAGGGCCCAACGTGTGAATGAGCCAAATGAGTTTCAACCTATATGCAAAATTAAACTAAGTAAATAATTAGGCAAAAAAATAAAACTCCATTTTCTTACTAAATTAGAATTAACGACTTATTGCTTTGTCTATACACTCTACTCCGTCAATAATCAAACCACATCCACAAACTCAAATGCAATTATAATTTTTAACTTTGTTTTTGCATCACACCCAAGCCAATTATGCACCGACTCAAATGAATTTCATCTTACAACCCCCCCAAAAAATAAATAAATAAACCTATGTTCACAAAGAAATCAATAACCCAAATTCAGATATTACATGTGATAGCAATAACCAATAGTCATCTAGTATTATAACTACCAGTATCATGATGGCAAACTAAATATACATCTTAACCATCTTACATGAAGAAAATGTTGAATTAAAGACATTAACACCCTACTAAAACTCTCAAACCGATCATAGTTATAATATGTGGAAACAATCAAGTTTTTAATGGATCTAAGAATGAAAAACGCTAATTGAACATTACCCGTTCCTGGCAAAAAGCTATAAAATTAGATGAAGATATAATTATATTGAATTAGCAATGAAATGACTAAGTAGGCAATTATTGTTTATGACCAAAAGAATTCCAGCTTATGATTTAGGAAACCTAACTACATACGCCCCTTTTGTTGATATGGATGTTTTGTAGACCGCTTGTACATTTTAATGTGGGAGTAAATTTTTAGAGCTAAGATAATTTTATCATCACTTGATTTGCCCCTTCCCCCTAATGTTTAGAGATGTCTACATTAGCCCTCACGTGGTTGGTTATTGGATTAATGTAGATAGGTGACGCCATCAACGGTTAGGATCAAAGGACTAATGTCCTTCACTCTTTCACCTCCTCCTATTTTGTAACCT